ATGTATTTTTTACCCATTGAAGTTATCGTCTAGGTCTATTTATCATATCAAATGACCAAAAATATTCACTTATCCTATATTTTCTGCCTAATTTGTAACTAAAGAAATGATTCTTTGATTACAAACAAACACTCCTGATTATTCAATGTAAAGATCTTTCTAGTACGATTGCGTGATATTCAAATACGTAGTATAATACTGTAAAAAAAGGTGAGTTTGTGAACTTGTAAAATTTCATAGATAAACCATCTACTTACCTCATGGCTTGTTCAAAAATTCATTATCCGCCACCAGGAGACGGTTGGTAATATGATACGAAAGTTTAAAGAGTATGTTTGTGCGGAGTTAAAAAGAATTAAGTATTTAAAATTCAAAAGAATTTCGATGTGTTTAACAAAAATAAACCGCAAACTAATTATAAAAATTAAATTAAATAAATATTGGGGTAAATATTTTACATGTGATATCTTATCGAATCCTGGTTGATGAATTCTGAAGTTTGGAGATTATTAGCCCGTGTTGTTTATTAAATAACGTAGAATATTTGGCCTCTTTTTCCCTTCTCTTGTGTCCCAATTCCGTCAATATAACAAACATTCCAGAAATCCTTGTGGACTCTTGAAATCTCATGTTTATGACTGAAGGGAAATTATATGTAGTTAGTGCGCATGTGTTTTATCAACATTTGTAGTATTTAAAGTCCTAAAACAATAATTTTTTGAATTTTCTGAAAGTGAGGAACTTTACTTTGTAATAAATGATGATAGTTTTGTTTGTTTGTTTGTATGTTGTTTAACATCCCTCTCGAGAATTTTTCACTCATATGGAGACGCCACCACTTGCCGGTGGAGAGCTGCAAATTTTTTCCTATATTCGGCACTTACGGCCATTGAACAGTGAGGGATCTTTTTCGTGCCAGCACCTACTGCGACACGGGACCTCGGTTTATACGGTCTCATCCGAAGGACCGGTCTCCACGTCCCACAGTGGGATTCGAACCCGCGACGTAAGGATCAACTCCTTACTTCACGACTCTAGAGCAGACGCTCTAACCACTGCGCCACGCGGGCAATGATGATGGTTAACCTTAATTTACTGCAATTAAGGAGATCGGAACAGTAAATTGATTTATAGATGCCTCAATAAATACTTAATAGTCAGGTTGTGTTTATATTATTTCTTATTAAAGCCCAATTTAGTAAAAAGACTTCCTAATTAAGCTTTTTAAATTTCATGAAATGTTAACATGTTAAATATTTCATGAAATAATTTTTCATTACAATCCATATTTTTTCTACAAAGTCTGTTGAAACAAATGCCCATGGTCTACTTAGTGGAATCTGTTTTAAAGAAAAGTAACTCGTTTTGTTTATTTATTACCATCTAAATCATATATGACCTTTAATGACGAGGGAGAAGAATGACGAGACGTCCCGAAAATATATATCAATTTTTATTGTTAGTGTCGTTGCCCATGAAAGTTTTAAATGAATTAAACAGTCTCAAATTGAACATATTTTACGGGAGAAGGTTATATATGTGTATTTTAACAGACATTTAGTTCAATTATTTTGTTATATATTATTTATAACACATATTTAATATCATTTAAATGTGGGAGTAACATATGAGAGTAATTTATGCATTAGAGATCTTAGTGTAAATAGTATCCTGCTTTCCATTATCATTGAGTTTAATAACAATATCATTTACATTTGTATACCGGAAATAATTCACACACTAATTGTTCTTTGCTACTTATCTGCAGAATTTTAAACATGCATAAATATTTATCTTAACAGTTTATCTTATAAAAACTCTTACTATCAATTTCAACATGCAAATAAGCTAATTTTATGATTTCAGGAGAGTGCCGAATTCATAAAATACATTGACTATGGCATCACCACTATTCACAACAGATGAACAAAATTTCATTCATTTCGTCATAGCGACGGTAGAAGAGATACCACGGATCTTAAGAATACTTTTAGAGAGCCAGATTCAGCCTCACGACCTACCTAAATCAGTGACAAATTGCACTACTTTGAAACTTTGGCAAGACCAGCGCGATCTGGTCTGCCCAAAGTTAGCTAAAGATCCAGACTATGAATCCTTTGATGTCACTTTATTGTACGCCCTTATTCGGAATCTCTGTCCTGCATTCACACCAACTAAAGGATGGGGAACTACGCCGTCTACCTCTGATCTTTGTGTTGGGGATGATATTGAGAGGCTTAGAAATCTTCGAAACAACTCATTCGCACATGCGAAGGAGCCGAAAATTCCAGATTTCGAATTTAAAAATCTATGGAGTTCTCTAGAAGATATTTGTAAAAGAATGGAAATTCAAACGAAAACTCTTTCCAATAATATGCAATATCAGAATGGTCTTAACGAAATTTTAAAAAAGGAATTAGGGACAGAATCCATAGAATTTTATCAATCCATGTTTGCATCAGAAAATCAATGTATTCGCAGAGAATTATCTGAGCTATCTAAACATGTGGGTGCGCTAGTCATGGAACAAAAAAAGAAATGTAAGTTATTAAAGTAAAATTTAACAAAAATAAAAATAATGATTGAAAATTTTAAGATAAAAAGTCTTTGACAGTTCTACATACCGGTAGATGTATAAAATGAATGAATATTGCAAGAAATATTCTTTATGTAATTTTTTACTTTTGCTTATTTCTTTTTAAATAATTTGTGTCCGTTCTTTACTCAAAGGCGTATTCATTTAAACTTTTTTTTTTTTTTTTTGAAATCTGCTCTGTACTACTTTTATGCAAATTAAGTAAATAAGTTTGTTGAAGAAAATTATATCGAACAGTGAATCTTTAAAGAAAATTTATTCTCAAAATTATTTTCGTTTTCGAAAAAAAACCCAAGATTTTTAGTATTATTATTTTTAAATTCACTCGATTTTTCATGTGTGAACAAAAAAAAAACAATACTAAAAATAAAGAATTTCAGTCACAGTTATTCAACTAGAAAACGAAATACACACATTTGAACGGTTTCTCTCATTGATAATATTACTTTGAGACGAATAGCATTTTAAATATTTACATAGCACTGATAACAAACTATCATTTTTAATAATCTATTATTATTTCTCTTTCTATTTTAAAAGCATCAAAACTAAAACTTTGTGGTCCCGCTATCGTGGAATATGGTGCCGATGCTGAAATTTACATTGAGTTTGAAGGGGAATCTAATAATAACATCCATTCTGTTTCCTGGATTAGACGAGTAGGCGCCTCTGCGCATGAAATTGATACAAAAAATGAAAAGTATGAAGGAAGCTTAAATGAAAAACTTATCATTCGAAATGTTTCTTTTGAGGATAATGGAAAATACCAAGCAATCATGCTAGAATTCAATCAGACACATATCCACTCCAATCAAATTGATTTGACGGTCTCAGGAAGTAAGTTTATTTTTCTTGTATATATTTTCTGTATTTGCATATGACTACGTAATTTTGAATACGTGTAAGAAATGAAAACATTAAACTGAGTACATATTTATCCGAGTTAGCCGAGGAAAACATTAATTTTAACGATTGTATATTACGGAGAAAAAAAATGTAGCATATAATATATACTTATAAAATCATATGATATTACATTCATCAACCCTTATATTTTTTGTCTTTTTATTTCCTAGAAATTCCATGTGTAATTTTATCGGGACCTGAAAGTGTCCGTTTTGGAAACACAACAAAAATTTGTGCAAAAATACAATCAGATCTCCCTATTATAGAAAAGAAATGGGGGAAAATCGATAAAAACAAGTTAATTGATATAGATGTTCAAACTTCAAAATATCAAGGAAGTTCTTTGCAAGACCAAGCATCAAAACTAGTCATCAATAATGCAGATTTTGGAGACCAATGTCTTTATTGCTTTGCTGTGTCTAATGCTGTCGGGGAGGTCAGAAGTGATCCTTTCGTTTTGCGTGTTTTGGGTTGTAAGTACACTTGATACAATAACACAATCATGTAAAATGCCATATTCAGTTAATTCCCAAAGTTTCTTTAAAAAGAAATAATTAAGTTTTCTTATTTTTAGCCGTGCCAAGGATCACCATTGGTCACATAACAGACCTGCATACACGATCCGTATGGATAATGACTGATATAACCATTGATGAAAACTCCCCTTCAGTATCTTCAATCCACTGGTCAAAAGACGGAAATCCTATTGAAGAAAACCCAGAAAAATACCAATTTCTTCAGGAAAACCGACGATCCCTTCGTATATTGAATATTAATGTGTCTGATGCAGGTTTATACAAATGCGTGGCGGAAAATCTGGTTGGAAAGACTGAAAGTGAAATTATTCAACTAGGTATATTTTTGTGTTCTTATTCATCATCGTAATTGTCTTATAGACATGCCCATATATACATTCTGTACATTTAAAATGATTACTTTGTTACTTTTATTATACATAATTTGTGAATTTCTGGAGTACTTCATTTTACCTTCACAGGTTGTATTAAATCCCTGCCCAAATTAATAAATAAATGTAATCATCGTACCTAATATCAGTGAAATAACCAGATTTTTTTCTCTATTGACCTTGATAAACATTGTTTATTCTGTTGTCAGAATGATTCTAAACTATATGCGTAAACATAAGTAAAATTTGAATTCTGAGGTCTATATGCTTGCAAGGAGTTATTAATGGGAAAGTTCCTATGTAATTTTCAATCTTTTTTATCTAACTAATGATAGCTAGATTTAAAATTGTTAGTATAAACCTGTTTGAAAATAAACTTTTATTTTAATTCGAAGTTAAAGAAGCGTTTGTTGATAAATATACATTTTAGGTCCACCAGAAATAATTTTGAAGGAGGGGATAGAAACTGAAATTTCGACGACCTTTTCAGCAAGAGTCATATCTGTTCCTTCTGTTATTGCTCTGAACTGGGAAAAAATCATTACCACAGACCATGGACCCAAATGCATTCCTATCAATATACGTGATTCGATGTATCGAGAAAGCTCTAATTTAACTCCATTTCCAAAACTGGTTGTTAAAAAGAGTAAGGCTGTTGATCTACAAAAAGTTAAGCTTCTTGCAGAAAATTTTATAGGGAAGACGGACGTCATAGTAGACGGTAAGTCTATCAGTCTGGTGCACCTTTTGTAAAAGAGTACGTTTGAATTATTTCCATTCTTTACGTTATGTTTACAATACTCTTCCAATGACAGTTCCGGAATATATAAGAAGACACAAAGAAGAAAATCTAAAGAGACAAGGTAGGGGATTTGAAAAATTAGAATTATTCACATCACCAAGGGGTGCACTTACGATTATGTTTAAGTTTCCTTTCATATTCCCTTAAGGATGCTCTAAACTCTAACAAAAAGTTCTTTTTAGACTTAGAGAAAAAATATCACATTTCACATATCACATAAAGGTGTGCATGTTGAGACTATTTAGTTCATTTTCAACATAGGGTACCTGCCTTATTTCTGCGGGAAAAATGTTCAAAGAAATTGGACTGTCAGAAATTGAGAAAATTGACTGCTAATAACCATTTTTTCTATCTTACTTCTAAGGCAGATCACTGATCCTGCATAAAACTACCCTATAAGTAGAGCAGTGTTTAGAGCTTCCTTAAGGTTCTTTTAATGCAGCGAAACGCCTCAATTTCCCATTAATTGACTTGAACAAGGAAGAATTTGTACATTTTAGCCTCATGTTGACATTACTTTTGTCAAATAATAAGATAATTGTAAGCTCAAGATATAGTAAATTAAAGGTACCTATAGACTTCTATTACAGAAATGAATTCCTTTAAAAATACTTTATAACTATACATTGGTAAAATAAAGTGTATCGGGGATTTTCAAATATACATATTTCGTAGAAAACATGCTCCAGTTTTATAATGAAGGACCATCAAAAGCAAAGTTTCTGCTATTCAGTGATAGTATTCGAGAATCCTTGAGCGAAGGCGACTTAAAACAACTGAAATATTATTTACATTGTTTGGGTATGTATATTTCTCAATCTTGAGGATAAATGTTTCCAAAAAAGAAGATCGACCATTTCTCAAATCACATTCACAATTATTCTCAAAAGGTATTGAAATTGTTTAAAGTTTTATGAAGTTAAAAAAGATGAAATATCTTGGAATGCATAAAAAGATATCAAACACTTGTACAATTCAAATTGGTCTCAGATCACATATAACTGATGATAAACAATAAATACATTTTAATAAAGTTGTTCTTTGTAAGAAGTGGCTTAAGGTGTTTTTGCATCAGTGTTTTGTTCATTGTATAAATATTAGGCTTTTTTTCACAGGAACAAACAGACATTTTGAAGTTCTCATTCAGATCATGTATAATAAATGAAATGAAATATTACGGAATCTTATGTCCGAATGGTACATCAACCATTGTGAAAATGTTAAACGAAAACATACGAGAGCGTTTCATAAGTTTTTCAACAAATAGGTACCAACATAGTGAAAAAAAGTAGATTGACCGACTAGGTTGAATTATATTTTGGAATACGAAGATCAAGACAAGTTATATCAAACTATATTTGCTTAGTTGCTAATGTGAAGTACAGGTATATTAGGCTTATTCAAAATGACTATTAAAGTCATTATAGATTTAGGGATACCCTAAATACATAAATGATTTTACTTTTATCACTAAATATTTCAGCTCCATCCCACCCAAACCATGATAAATTGTAATATTTCTAATCACTTTGTGATACAAAATAAAATTGACGGACCATTTTCAACTCTTTTATTCTAAATTAATAAATTTTTACAGCTTTAAATGTTTAAAAATTTCTCTTACTTGCGACAAAAAATCGAACACAGCTGCTCAGTAGATTGTGCTTAAAAACTTTCATTACTGAGTAACTTCAAAGTTTAGATTTAGAAATTGTGATGTTGTGATAACTGGCCACCAAACGGTATACCCTTTTTTAGCTCACCTGAGCTAAAAGCAGATGAAGTTGGCTTTTCAGATCACTTGCTGTCCGTCGTCTTTCCGTCTGTCTTCTTCTTCTCATGAACCACTGGGCTAGAAAAGCTGAAACTTATGTGGAAGCATTCTAAAGTAGTGTAGATTCTCAATTGTTGAAATCATGGCCCCCGGGGGTAGGGAGGGGCCACAATAGGGAATCAAGGTTTTACATTGAAATATATAGGCAAAATCTTTGAAAATCTTCTTCTCAAGAACCATTGGAGCAGAAAAGCTGAAACTTATGTGGAAGCATCCTGGGGTAGTGTAGATTCTAAATTGGCTAAATCATGGCTTCCGGGGATAGGGTGGGGCCACAATAGAAAATCAGAATTTTGCATTGAATTGTCTAGGGAAAAATCTTTAAAAATCTTTTCAAGAACCATTGGAGCAGAAAAGCTGAAACTTATGTGGAAGCATCTTGGGGTAGTGTAAATTCTAAATTGGCTGAATCATGGCTCCCGGGGATAGGGTGGGGCCACAATAGAAAATCAGAATTTTGCATTGAATTATCTAGGGAAAAATCTTTAAAAATCTTCTCAAGAACCATTGGGCCAGAAAAGCTGAAACTTATGTGGAAGCATCCTGGGTTAATATAGTTTTTATTTTTTTCAAATTACGGCCCCGGGGGTAGCGTGGGGTCACAACAGGGAATCAAAGTTTAACATTGAAATACATGTATATAGGCAAAATTTTTGAAAATCTTCTACTCAAGAACAACTGAGTCAGAAAAGCTGAAACTTATGTAGAAGCATCCTGGGGTAGTGTAGAATCTAAATTGTTGAAATCATAACCCCCAGGGTTAGGGAGGGGCTACAATAGGGAATCAAAGTTTTACAGTGAAGTATATAGGCAAAAACTTTGAAAATCTTCAAGAACCATTGGGCCAGAAAAAGTAAAACTTACGTGGAAGCATCCTGGGGTAGTGTAGAATCTAAATTGTTGAAATCATGACACCCGTGGTTAAGGAGGGACCACAATAGGGAATCAAAGTTTTACATTGAAATATATAGGAATTTTTAAAAAAAAATATTCTTCTCAAGAACCACTAGCCAAGAAAAGCTGAAACTTATATAGAAGCTTTTAAGGGTAGTGCAGATTCTAAATTGTTGAAATCATAGCCCCGCGAGTAGGATGGGGTCACAATAAGTATTACAATGGGGGTCTGGTAAAGAATAGCTGGGCCAAAGTAATTCAAGTGAACATTGTGGCCCATGGGCCTCTTGTAGTGACCTAACTAAGCAATTGAAAGTAATACTTCTGTTGTATAATTTGCTGTAACACATCTTAATTAAGTCATTCTAATTTTGAATAAAAACTACTATATCTTTCAGAATTACCAGGTTTCAGCAAAGTAGACTCTGCTAAAATTGAAGAGCTTGGTACCTTGCTTGACCTCTTCAGTTTTCTTTTGTCTAAAAATTATTTTAGCAGTACCGACGTAGTTTTCATGCAAATTCTTTTGAGACGCATAAAGCGTGAAGACCTTGAAAAAATGTGCATTAAGTATGCAACTGAGGACTCCAAGGCCTTGTGTTACTACGCAGAAAGTGAAAAACCAGGTATTCAGTTTGCATGGAAACTAAATTAATTCTTTTATTCAATTGCCTTTAACAATATTTAATGTTAAACTCAATATTTTTATTAATAGTCAATGGATACACTCATGTGCACTTCCACATATCTGAGAATATTATAAACTACCCTCGGGAATATGCTGAAAAAATAAGAGAGACTGTTGCTATATTAGTTGGTTGTCCTATGGACTGTCAGGACTGTCTACAACTGGACGGTATTCGTCACACGAGTAGTTTCAATATAGTTTTCCAAATGAAGAATGAATACGTGAAAAAACTATTAAACTTGCAGCCCCAAAATTTTGCAGTGCTTGGAAGATATTCCGTAGACAAAATAATTGTTGGAGGACAAACAATCCATATTGACTGCAGTGAAATGTGTAAGTACATTACTAATTACTTCAATTCATACTTGTGATATGACGTAACAAACATTTCCACAGTTATTAAAAAAATCTCTAGTTTTATAAAGTCCCTTGAAAAACTTTTTTCACGTTTTATTAATTAAAATTAGTTATTTCCACTCATATGTCGACTCGATGTATCCAAGTGAAATTGAAATAAAAGACACTACAGAGTCTGCTACATCTGTTTCATATATGGATGTTTTACTGACAATAGACGACAAAGACCAACTAATTACTAAATTGTATCACAAACGAGATGACTTCGGCTTTTCTATCGTCAACTTTCCTTATTTGTGTTGTAATGTTCCGCGTTCACCTGCATATGGTGTTTATGTCTCCCAACTTATTCGCTACTCAAGAGCATGCTCTGGGTACGATCAATTTTTAAAACCGAGGCAGGCTACTCAAACATAAGTTGATGTTGCAAGGATTTCAAAAATATCGTTTAAAGTCGGCATTTCGTAAATGTTATGGTCATTATAATAACCTAATTAGCAAATATAAACTATCACTGGGTCGAGATTTGGCTGCCGTGTTTCATACCAATTATTAGGCCTTTGTTTTTATACTGATTGTGACTACGGAATGTTCCGTCTACCTGATCAAAACATAAGGCTCACAGCGGGTATGACCACTCAACAGGGAATACTTACTTCTCCTAGCCACCTCTGGAATTTCCGGGAATCCCGTGTTAATGCTATTTTTACAAAATTGTTTGTAGTTTTTACGAGATCGACCGTTGTTTATTATCTTCACCTTTTTCATTTCACACCAGAAGTGCGTTGAAGAGCGTAGCAGCTACGTGACCTCTACGTATAGCTAGGATCTTGAATGTTAAGCTAGCCTAGCCCCTACATAGGGAGAACTAGCATAAATATTTGATGCTTAGTACCAAATCCAAGATGGCATCCTTAGTAACCACTTCGCAGCACACAAGATTAATCAAAAAGGGAGATTGTTTTCTACATCTCCGCATATAAAATGTAAATTTACTTATATACCACCTAGCTGCTAGGTAAGCCGCTACGATCTTGAACACGGTCCATAACTGCGTCCTCGCGCGAAAGAGGCGCGACATAAATGGGGGAAAACAACACACAATTGTTTAATACACAAATGACATGAATTATTTGACAAATTGAATAATAAAATTAATAATGAAAAGAATTAATCGATATCCATTAAACAGTGTAAAACAAAAATTATGATGTTTCCAAAATATATACTGTGAAAAAAATAAACATACGATCTTATAAATTAAAAAAAAATAAGTTTGTAGAATCTATAGAAACAAGTTTTTGGCAGTAATCCTAATTTTAAAAAAAATTGTTTACAAAAGGTAAATTATACACCAATACACTTTTCATTAAAGAACAGAAGAATATTGTGGTAGGACACAATATCACGCTTACATCTATTTCATATATTTACAATTGGTCCGAAATCTGATCTTAAAACTTGTGAATTAAAAAAAATCACTGAAGAAGTTTGGAGTCATAAAAAATGATTTGGTGGATCTATTGTTAATTTTTCAACATTACAAAAACACATGATTAACGTACGATGTTTGACTCGTAGTGCAAATATAAAAGGAACGTGGTTATCTGTAGAAATATTACAACATGAATTAATTGTCATGAAAATTTCATTTGCAATTACCGTGAAGTTTGAAAAAAGGCATGTTTCTTTTCATTTATTTGTCCAGCGATGTCTAGAAGATAATTATTTGTGCAAGCCAAGCAATAGGCCCTAATTAAAGTATAATAACGGTTTAGCGTTAGAAACTGGAAAACGGTACATAATTTGGAGATTCATTTGATCTATATATTTATCTTACTAATGACGACGATCTTGCTGTGGCGATGATATTTTTACTGTGGCTGAACTATGGTGCTGATTTATTTTTTTTTTTTTTTTTTTTTTTTTTTTTTTTTTTTTTTTACATATAACTGTGGCGCTAAGGAATTTAACTATGGCGGGGCCGCCACGTTAAACGGCCCATGGAGAACCCTGACCAATTTTAGTAATACCAAGTTAAACGACAGTTCTCTCTCGATTCACTAGTAAAATTAGTCCATAATTACCATGTAGCAGTATTGGTAGATACATGTATAACTTTGGATTGATTTATATGTATTTATAAACGATATTTCTACGAATCCAGACTTTGTTAAATTTGTTCGAATAAAGTTTAAAAAGTTGAGCGAAGATGAACTGACTAAATATTCTAAGCTACAGGACAAATTTTAGCACGCATGCATATTTTCATATGAACTAAAAACAGAATCAACCATACTATGTAATTCCTCATTCAGATAGTTTTGTACTATAACAAAACAAACAAACAAACCCATGAACAGAAGTATCCTTTTCTTAAACTATTTCAATATTTTTTTTTAGATTTCCAGAGCGGAAAGATATCTGATACAATGTAATACTAATAAAATCCATTGGCCTGTAAACCAAATAATGGGATGATACTATTTTAAATATATAAAACAGTTTTTAAGCTCCATTCTGTAGTAGATGTACTTTTATTACTTTGATTAAGGGACTTCCTGTTATACCCAATTATTCTCATTTAATAAGCTTCAGCGTTGGCAAATAATTTATGTTTTTAATATAATAATAAAATCTTTAAACATATATTGCACAATCTTTTTTCTTTCTTTTTAGATCATCAACAGAAAATGCTACAGAAATTAATAGTTGATGATTCCACCTACTATGAGACGAGCGCTTACAAAGTGGTCTTTGAGAAAATGATGAAAACCAATGTTGTCGTTTTAGTTGGAGAGCCTGGATGTGGTAAAACAAGTCTAGCTCATCATCTTGCCCTTCAACTCAATGAAAATTATAACTTTTGTCCTATTTCAAACATTACAGATATTAATCACTTATTTCATCCCAACCAATCACAGTTTTTCCTACTTAATCTCTGTACTGAAAACATACCTCATCCATTTCTGTGTTTAGATGAAAGCTTGAAAAGGCTTTTAAGTGGTTCAAAACTTCTCATAACGTGCACAAATGATTCTTTCCATACGGCCTTGAAATGTCATCATCGTTTTGAACGGGAAAACGTTATTCATTTCAATAATTATGCATCTGATATTGAGGAACGTTTAGGTATTTTAAGGAAATATTGCACAGCACCAGAACTAACAAATAATTTGTTTGAAGACGATAATACCGTCTTTTTTCCACTACTGTGTAAGTTGTATTCTTCGATTCAAAATCTGCAGTGTTTTAGATTGCAATTTTTCAAAGATCCCTGGTTTTGTCTTCATTGTGAACTTGATAGTCTGCTGAGGAGAGATAGCTTAAGTTATGCGTCACTTGTGCTCTGTGTGCTTCACAAGAACAAGATTTCTCAGGAAATACTTGAAAAAAGTTCGACATTGAAAGTTACTCTTCAAATTTGCAATGTCAATGGTGATATCAAAATCTCTGATATACTAGATTCACTTGCAAATATGCTTGGATCATTTGTGTCTAAAAACGATTCTAATTTCAGAATTTCTCATTCATTGCTCTGTTCAGTCATTTCATCCCATTATGGTAAATCGTTCGGAGAGGCTATCATCAAAAATGTCTCCATTGACTTTTTAATTAATGGAGTTGTTTTAAGAGCCAATGCTTCAGTTCAGTTAGAATTAGAATTACACAGCTCTTTATTTTTTTCCCTTGCCAAAAGATTTAACGAGGAAATCCGACAGGGAAGACCAATTATTTTAAAGGCCAGAATATTTCTTGCCTCTGAGTTTGTTGAAATTTTTCTCCAAAATTTGAAACTCAAACCACTAGAAGAAATAAAAAAATACTATATTCTTGATCATTCCAGAAATATTAAAATTGATACAAAATCCGGTATTCCATGCTTACATTCAAAGTCAGACAGCAGTGACGTTATCAGTTTTCTAGTATATTATGGTCACATTAACATATTGAAGTTTCTGACAGATCTGGTTGTCAGTCATAATGAGTCAACAGATTTGATGTTCGGTGGATTCAATGATCAATTAAAATATTTGGTACTTGCCTGCTACAATGGCGATCAACTATTGATTGATTTCGTCCTTAAATTTATGAAAAAGGAAGTTATTAATATGTACTGCAAATCATTATGTAGTCTTTCTCACAAAGAACTACATTTGATAGCAGGTTGCTTATTTCGGTCGCAATATATTTCTCTACCAGAGGAATCTGCTAACGTCAAGTGTTCTTTTGAACCTGAGGATGAATTCCAAGCAAACACTACAGAATCAGGTCAAATGACTTTTGTAGAAAAATGGATTGATCATGGCGCTGACATAAATCATTGCCGTATTTTTGAGGGGTTGTCACTATTTGCTGCTTCAGAATCTGAGTATTTAACTGTTGTGGAGATACTGATCCAGCTAGGCGCTGACATTAACCAATGTGATGAATATGGCGAGTCACCATTGATTGCTGCTTCGCGATCAGGGCATTTGAATGTTGTGGAAAAACTGATCGATTATGGCGCTGATATCAATCAGTGTGATGAATTTGGCAGGTGTCCTTTATTTGCTGCTTCAAGATCAGGACATTTGAATGTTGTTGAAAAACTAATCGATTGTGGCGCTGACATATATCGATGTGATGGGTTTGGCAGGCAGCCATTGTTTGCTGCTTCACAGTTTGGTCATTTATCTGTTGTGGAGAAACTGATTGAATGTGGAGCTGACGTCAACAAATGTGATAAAAATGGCAATTCACCACTAGTTGCTGCTTCACGATCAGGGTATTTAACTGTTGTGGAGAAACTGATTGACCATGGCGCTGATATCAATCAGTGTGATGAATTTGGCAGGTGTCCTTTATTTGCTGCTTTACAATTAGGACATTTAAATGTTGTTGAAAAACTAATCGATTGTGGCGCTGACATATGTCGAAGTGATGGGTTTGGCAGGCAGCCATTGTTTGCTGCTTCACAGTATGGTCATATGTCTGTTGTGGAAAAACTGATTGAATGTGGAGCTGATATCAACAAATGTGATAGAAATAGCGAGTCACCACTAATTGCTGCTTCGCGATCAGGGCATTTGAATGTTGTGGAAAAACTGATCGATTATGGCGCTGATATCAATCAGTGTGATGAATTTGGCAGGTGTCCTTTATTTGCTGCTTCAAGATCAGGACATCTGAATGTTGTTGAAAAACTAATCGATTGTGGCGCTGACATATATCGATGTGATGGGTTTGGCAGGCAGCCATTGTTTGCTGCTTCACAGTATGGTCATATGTCTGTTGTGGAGAAACTGATTGAATGTGGAGCTGACGTCAACAAATGTGATAAATACGGTGAGTCACCACTAGTTGCTGCTTCAAGATCAGGACATTCTTATAAAAATGTCGAGTCGCAACTCATTGCTGCTTCAAAATCTGAGAATTTGAGTGTTGAAGAGAGAATGATTGATCACGTCGCTGATATTAATCAATCTGATAGTCATGGCAAATATTCATTTTTTGCTGCATTTGAATCAGGTCATAAGACTGCTTTAGAGAAACAGACTGAACATGATGGAACATGGAATGATGAATCAGTTGTACACCATTACTCGAGAAAAAAGAAATCAAAGACAAACGTAGTGAATAAAAGAAAATCTGTTTTTTTACAAATTTAGGAATAGAAAGACACAAGTAAGAAAGCCGCAGAGATATAACAATCCGGAGTCAATTGATTTAATGGGAAAACCTGTTATTTACAAATCTAGGAATAAAAAGACACAGCTTGAAAAGCCGCTTAGATTTAGCAGCCAGGACTTATACGAAACAAAGACTCAGTTGGTGAAACCCCCTTATGATTCAAAAACAGATCAACGTGGGACTCATGATTTACTCGAACACTCAGAAAACAACAGAAGACTTTTTCGATGTGAAATACAGTAAATGAAAGAGATAAATATAACGAGCAGCGATCGATATAAAAAAAAAACTATAAACAATACAATTCTTTGAACTATGGCATAAACACAGACCTTCGGAAATTCCAGAGGTAGGATCAAGTGCCTAGGAGGAGTAAGCATCCCCTGTTGACCGGTCACAAAAAATAATCTGATAAAAATAACACATCCTTACAACATTGCAAGTCCAGAACTAGGTTTTCCGGAAACGTAAAAAAAAATCTGAAATCTTTTCAACTAAAGTTTTAAAATAACGAAGTTCATATGCCCTCTGCAAGGGGTTCTGAGTTAGGGCGTGGCTATATTGGTCATAGAGCGAAAATGCATTATTTTTTTATATTTATTTTTTCTGGTGACGTTAATATACATGTAGTTAATAATGAGAACCTTTGATCATTAATTTTAAAAGGTCCTAAATATAGGGAACCCCGATCCTTTAACTGGCGACGTAATTTCATACATATTACGGATTCTGTAGAGGATTGCGCCAGGCGTTTGGTCAGACATGAAAAAGAAGACCTTGACACTTTGTCAGAATGGATTAAATGTATCAGATGTATGTTACAATTTCGCATTAAGCGATTGAGGGGAAAATGAAAACCATCTATCCTTCTGTATTCAATAATTCAGAAGTGAAAAAAAAAATAGATAGATTACAAGATCAGGTAACAGCATTATCTTTGTTTGTAAGGCTCGTTATATAAATTGTATTTTAGAGGAACTGGGATTTAATTCTAAAGGTGGTAATCAAACTTATACCCATAGCTCCCTTTCTAAGGAGGAAATTCTTCAAAATCATGTCAGTTTTCAATATTTTTAATATTCCCAAAAACCAAAATGAATTTGAATTACCATATCTGTATTGGATTCCGAAACGTCATAAAAATCCTTACAAACAAAGATACATAGCGGGTTCCAGTAAATGATCTACCAAGGGTCTTTCTTTACTCCTCACTAAGATATTAACAGTAGTGAAGGAGAAACTTCAAGAGTACTGTGCAACAATATATTCGAGAAGTGGTGTAAATCAGATGTGGATACTAAAAAATTCCAAGGAACTTTTGGAACATTTGAAATCACAAAATTTTTCCAAAATCAACAACATAAAAAGTTAAGAATTTTCAACTTTATATACAGCTATTCCCCACAATAAATTCAAGTCCAGATTTCTGACATCGTTGACAGCTGCTTTTTCATAAATTTACTCACCTTGTGCATGTTCTACGTACGAAAAATTTCTAACAAAGTGACAAGCTACTGACAAATAAGCTGTCGATACAACGATAAAGTCTCTTTGAAAGTCAACATTTAGCAATTATATTGTCGATACAATTACCTTTATGTGACGGATGTATACTAAATTACAAAAAGATTTACCTAATGTATCCACGTCCACATATCCTGAATTGTTATCTTTTACCAATATGGAAAAACAAACCATTTTTGTTGAAATTTGGATTAAAGCGGGGATTCAGTACACGAAAGACTTAAACGATGTAAATGGATCATTCCATGATATTAGATACTTCTCTGGTACGATTTTATTCAAAAACAATTTTATTAAATACCTTATTCTGAAGACAATATTTCACAAATGTACAAATACATTTAAATGTGAAAAGGTGCCATAAATAACATATATATACTCTTAAAAGTAGAGAGATATGTTCTTATATATAATATAAAATCATCCGTCTTCTATATCATATTCATTGAGAAAAAATTCTTAAGACCACAAACGAAAGATTATTGGAGTGAATTATTTGGTTTTCCCAAATATTTAAGGATTTCTATCTACTGCATGAAAATTACAAAAATGCCCGATAAACACAGAGCAGAACTCAACTATAAATTATTGCATAAATTATTAAACATTAATTAAATATGTGGGCAAGTGGAATTCAGGTGTACTAAGACTGTGTGATAGTTGTAGATAAATGTTTATTGCTTCACGCCAAGTCCGCTATATTTCAGCCTTATTTTGGCGGGAAGTAAGTTTATACGACAGGTTTTTGAAAGATTTTGGTTTCTCTGGCGGCCCAAGTGAGTCTACTCTTTTTGTAATCTAAAGAAACGATCTTTTACGGGCCGAGGGGGTTGTTATCCTTTACACAGCGTACCATTTAAATTCCTATCCGAGGGACTTAAATTTAAAAACTGTGGAGAAATAGAAAATATTATGCATCTTTTATATAATTGTAACGACTCAATTGTATATGGATTAAGTTTAGTTTAATTACAGGGTTTAAGTTAAATTTATTGTCGAGATTAATTGAAAACATAACAATAGGTTTCTATAAAAATTCCGATTTTATTAACGACATGGATATACTTGTATTATTATCCTTCAATGCACTGAAAATTTTTTAATTACAACAGAAAGTGTAGACTTACAAATTCCCCTTGTACCAGAGATCCTTTGTACAAATTTGTTAAATCGGCATTAAATACATATCAATTATTTGCAGAATGTTCCTATGATAAAGTAGAAATTCATATAAAGAGTTCAAAAAAGTTTATAAATTTAAAAATGTTGCCAACAGGTCCACAAAATCAGCTGTGTTCTCTGGGAGTTAGCTTAGGGGTAGTAGGAACACTAGCAGGGTATACATGTATATGAAAACGTCACATATATATGTAAATTTTGTTAAAAAATAATATATATTTAAAAATTATATTTTGTTATCAATTGTTATTATAAAAAATGCAAAAAAATTCAAGTATTTTTTCCAATTGATTTATGTAATCTTTAATCAAAATTGGCTCATTATTTAATGTATTTATTGTAAACTTTGTCTAGATGATATGTATATCATTGTTTGTTTGTAAAAAATAAAGAAAAAGAATATAAAATGTAATTCTTACATTCAAGTTAAAAGGTTTACTCTGGTAATCCACTCAAAGTTTGCCAAGATTTTTTGTTTTATTTTTTTTTTAATTTCCATTATGTGAGGTAATGAAATGGTTGGCAACACATAAACAAAATAATTTGTTATACAATGAAAATAACGGCAAGCACACCAGTGAAAACAAAAATAACTGTAAGGTCTTTGTCGATCACCTGAGTACCATGAGTTTTTCAAGTGTGCCAAGTGGTCCACACCAGGAACTAGAACTCTGGACGCAGGAGAAGAACACTTAAGAGTTTCGTGAGGACACTGTTAACATTACAGCTTTTCTCCTAAACGTTCAGGAGTTAATAAGATGCATGATGGTAGCTGTATATAAAAAATAAAATAAAACATGATCAACTTTGTCCTATCCTGGGTCTCGTGGAGACCCTGATGAGATTGTTGAGATGAATTCTATAATTTTTGTATAGGGTCAGCAGCTTGATTATTATTTTAATTATGTAAATAAGAATTGCCCACTGGATGTATATTTGTATTATTAAATTCGATTAATGACCAACACGGGACATGGACCATGGGCCGGGGAACATGAAATTTCGAGGAGTGTTTAGTGTGAATTTTTTTCAGGCAAACAATTTGTGAGCTAGATTCCCATGATTAACTTAGCCCCATATTTGAATGTTAGACCAAGAGTTTAACAAGTCTAGTAAAGGATTAAGGATTAAGTATTCAATGTCTTCATAGAAACAGTTTGTGTGCAAAATATTTATAGCAAAGAAGAGGATTTTGAAAGTGTAGTATACTTCCAATGTATTACTGACTTAACCCATCGTGGGACCTGAACCACGGGAATAGAGGCCTCGCAATTTCATAATGTTGGTAGAGGGAAAAGTGTTTATTACATTCCCGGAAATGTCTGCCTGCTATGAATAGAGAAGAATATTTTCAAAGATTAGATGTACTTTCAATATATGACAAACTTAGGCATAAACTGGGGCATGACCTAGAAGCCATGAAATTCTGTATAGGGTTAATTTTTATTATGATCCTGGAAATATAGTTTGCCTGCATAATTCCATGAGCCATGAGTAGAAAAAAAGACACTTTCGAAAATATATGTAGCTGGCTTGAGCCTTGGTCATTGATAAAGAAGCTCAAATAATGATGATGACTTTTATTGGTTCATCAACATAAGAACTGTAAACAAATACAACATTTATCAGTGATTACATAACAAAACAAAAAAAAAAAAAAAAAAAAACGGGAATTACATTTAGCACACAAACATGCACTAATATGTAGACTATAATATTGTCAATCAATTGACTAGCAGTATGCAATATGAATATCAACTATACATTTATTTAATTCACTTAATCTCAATAATAATAAATTATTAGCGCTAGCAATCAGAAAATATGACTTTGTCATTTCACTTAAAGAGGGATTCTTGTCTGGTTTCTGACTAGATGAAATGTTCAAAGTATATTTGCTTTTATGTTTTATATATTTAGATGTAAAATATTTAAAAGATCATATTTTTCTTTCCTCAGCGCAATTTTACAACTTTAAATAGAAATGGTAAACTGAGTTTGACATCTAGCAAGGACTATATTTTTGGCGGAATGGCGGTGTATGAAAATATCTTCTTTTCTACCTCTCAAAATAATTGTAGAACAATGAATTTAGTTATAATTTTTACACAATCAAAGACTTGGACAAAATTTTAAAATGTAAGTTAAATTAATAATAAGGGACTAAAGTTTTAAAATATATCAAATAAATATGATTTTCCAAACAAACTACAATTATGTTAGCTTTTAAAAGCTTCCAATCTAAGTTCAGATTTGAGCCAAAAATCCGTAAAAA